TGTTATTGAAGCCGTCGGTGCTCAATAACACAGAAATGAATGTTTCTGCAGACTTTTGTTCACACAAACACAAACACAAACACACACACAAACACACACACACACACACACACACACACACACACACACACACACGATACACCTGTAAAGTCTGATGTGATGTTTCTGAAAGAGTCTCTTCTGCTCACAAAGGCTGCATTTATTTGATCAAAAATGCAGTAAAAACAGTGAAATGTTATTAGAATGTAAAACAGCTGTTTTCTATGTGAATATCTGTTAAACTAATATATTTCTGTGATGCGCAGCTGTATTTTCAGCATCATTACTCCAGTCTTCAGTGTCACATGATCTTCAGAAATCATTCTAATATGCTGATTTGCTGCTCAACAAACATTTCTGATTATTATCAATGTTGAAAACAGTTGTGCTGCACAATATTTTTGTGGAAACTGTGATGCATTTTATTTTTCAGGATTCACAAATGAATAGAAAGTTCAGAAGAACAGCATTTATTTGAAATAGAAGTCTTCTGTAACATTATAAATGTATTTACTGTCACTTTTGATCAGTTTAATGCATCCTTGATCAATAAAAGTGGTCATTTCTACCCTAAAATTAAAAAAATTATCTGAAACGTATGAACTCTAGTGTATAGAGTATTGTTCATGAAATAATGAACATTACGGAGTGTGTGATGAATTATAATGAATGGCGTCATAAGTAAAACTATGATTATGAAGCAGCTATGATCATCTAATAAATCATGAAAACATTCACAGGTGTGGCAGAATATTGTCCTCATCTGAAGAACAATGAAGAAATCATTAATATTGTTTTAAAATTGTCCTTAATTAGCGATAATTCCGAACAATCAAGGTAATAATTAGAAAGAGGCTATCTAAATGACTGGATTGTGTGTTGAGTTGTTCTGTGTGTGTGTGTGTGTGTGTGTGTGTGTGTGTGAGAGAGAGTGTGTGTGTGTGAGTGTGTGTGTGTGTGTGTGTGTGTGTGTGTGTGTTTTACTCTCTGTGTTGCTGTCCAGCATCTTCAGTCACAGCTGAGTGTTTGAGCTTCATTCACAGACAAGGCAGTGATTGTGCTCGTCACCAGACTGATGTATTTCTGTTTCTCTCTGAAGTCCTGCATATCAGCTCTGCTCGGGAGTAATGTGTCTGTCCTGCAGGCCGAGGCTCGCTCCATTACTCTGAGCCAGCGCTCCACGAGTTTAGCCACTGTTCCGCAGGCTCCTCTCAGTAATGAATTTGATAAATGTATTAATTATGAATCGGGCGATCAGATGGTCGTGTGGTTCCTGGAGCTGTAATGAAGCGCAGGGGGTTCTGATGGCCAGAGCCTCGATCGAATCAAACGCAGGACACTCCTCGAGAAAGATCCAAACTGAGCACCTGACGCTCGTGATGTTCTGCTTTCACTGAGAGTGAGCTATGAGCTAAACCTGCTCAGGACTGAATCCTGGTGATGAAGATGAAGGTGATGAAGGTCAGAGGACACATTTACTGACTCCTTTCAGCTTCAGACTGTATGTCAAGCGTCTCACACCAAACGCTGAAAGGAATAATATTCAAACACTTCCAGCATTAAAAATTGTCATTTTTGGTAAGAAATCCTCAACGCATCAGAAGTGAATCACTGCGGCTGAATGAAACACGGCCTCCATCTGCTGGACTGATGCTACAGTCACAAACACTCTTCTGGCTTTGACTAATGCATGAAAATATGTCAAGTCAAGTCACCTCTATTTCTACAGCGCTTTGTACAGTACTGATTGTGTCAAAGCAGCTTTACTACGGTGACCGAGAAGTGCAAATCAGATCACAATTCTGAAAACAAAATAACAAATTACAAACGCAAATGCAAGTCTAAAAACCAAAATAATTCAGAAAGCACAACAACAATTCAGAAAACATTATAACAAGTCAGAAAACACAATGACAAATCCGAAAACAAATGA